GTAGAAGGAGTCAACTTAATAAAGACTTCACAAGGTTGCCAGATTAGCATAAAAAAGGTTGTGGAAACCATAAAGTGAATAATTAGGAATATAATGTATCTGTTTGCTGTCAGCAGGTACATATGCCATTATTAGACATTATTATCCAAATTTGAATAATATTTTGCATTTAAAAATGTGAATGCAATACACATATAAATGAACTGATGCACTGTGGACTGGATGGTTGGAGTGAAATTCCCAGTGGAATGCCATGAATGTTTCTCTTCAATTTGAGATCACTCTCCTAGACAGTGGATATGCAGGTTAAAGATTGAACCTGAAATAAAATATGAATGATTTAAGTATAGAATACATAAAAGAGAGATACAGTTGCCATTGTGCTTTTTGAACATCATGCCATGAAATGTATGTATGTGGGAACAGAGGCATAGTTCACACATTAGTAAGTTCAGTATTGCCAGAGATATGTACGTGGTCTTGCAGTAAAGTTCGCAGACTCATTGTGGTAAAAGTGCTACATACCTCATTGCTGAATATCACTGTGGTTGCCTTCATAGTACTCCCTTCGGGAGGCTATGCACCAATACCCGCGCCTAGTCCAGCCCACCCTTCAAAACAATTTTGAAACTGGTTTTGTGGAATGGCCTTCAGAGCTGCCATCATATTACTCCTTATGTCATCAGGGTCATCAAAATGCCCCCCTTTCAACATTGCCTTTATCTTCAGGAACAAAAAATGCCAATAGAGGCTAGATCCAATGAATAGGAAGGGTAGTCCAGCAAAGTTATTTGTTTTCTAGCTAAAAACTCCCTCACAGGCAGTGTTCTTCTGTGAACTCCTTTGGGTCTTCAGTTAAGATTTTCTTAACTGTTTCTCTGCCAATGTTTGCTTGCTCTGTTATGCTCCTGACAGTCAGCTGACAATTTTCATGCACAGTTTGACAAACTTGTCTTCAGTTCCGCTTGTTGCTGCCCATCCTGATCGCTCTTCATTAGTGACACTTTCTCTTCCCTCGGGAAAACATGTCACCCACTTGTAAACTGCTGTTTTCTCATAGCATTATCCCCATGAACTTGCACTAACATCTCTCTGATTTTGCTTCCATTATTGCCAAGTTTAACAAGAAGCTCTGACATTCTTGGGACAGCACACCGAAACACACTCAGACAATAATAGACACTACTCAGAAAGAGACTGCCATAGATGAACAACAGCACAGCTGTGAAATGCTGATATGTGAATGTCATGAAACGATACTGTGGTTCTGTCCAGTGCTCCCATGGCAAACACACAGCAAGTTCATGAACTTTATTGTCAGACCATGTATACACACACAAACAATATAGGGTGAACCACTGAAAATACTGTTTATTCTGAAGAAATGGTCTCTCTGCAGTTCTGTTCATGAGGTGGATGTGTCAGTTTTGATTACATGGCTTAACAATAAATAAATAACCAAAAAATTAATTCATTAACCTAGAACTAAATAAATATGGACAAGTAGTGAATGATTTTATAGTGAACTGCACAGTACCACCACATTTCATCACTATGAGCCAGAGAAAAGATAACTCGATTGTACTGCTATCTGTTACTTGGGCAAAGAGCTCTAACCTGGGCAGACATGGGTCAACTGTTATTAGTTTGGCATAGGAAACATAAGAACCTTGAAAAAATACAGCTGACTTCGTAATAGTGTAGTGCCTTAACTTTTGCATTTGAGTTGGTCATTTTAATGCTCTTGCTGCTTTACCTTTGGTAGTCATTGTATAGGATGCCTCGTGACTCTAGAGTCAGTCTGGACATGGTGCTGGAGAAGAAAATTCCTGTCACTGACAGGAAAAAATTCCTCTCATCCAGCCCATAATCAGAATACAGATGAAGCAGTTATGATGGGCTGAAAAATATGAGGTCAAAATTATGGTTTGGAACATGAGATTGGGTGTATTCGAGTATGTAATTCTCACAAAGTGATAAAAATAAATTCTGAGTGTTTGCCTTCTTTATCTCACATAATATTTTGGCCCAACACAGCAGTTACTTTGTAGACATCAGTTTACTTGGCAGTTTGAATTTTGTAACTGGAGACTTCTTTACCAAGTAAAGTCATTGGAATGGAAGGTATTTTATGAAAAGAAATTATTCCTACTGCATTGTGTCTTGATGAACTTTGGAAGCTTATAGTATTTTTGTGTACTGTTGACATTCTCACAGTGCACCTTGTAGCATAAATGTACAGCATGTTTTCTGTTAATGTTGGCACGTGTTATTCTCTTAAATATATAATATATTCTGTTATTGTACATGTAAACTAAAAGAAATTCTTGATGATTTATTTTATGTTTCAATAAAGAATTGGCAATAATTGAGAAGGATAATTTACACCTGTTTTCTGGCTGATTTCCAAAAGAAAATGATATACATGGATGTGTTTTATATATATATATATATATATATACACACACACAACTGTAATCCTTAGTTGTGACTGTAACTAGGACGATCTCCGATCTCACATAATCGGTCCAACTGATCTCCATCCTTCTCCAACACCACATTTCGAAACTTTACAGATGTTTCTGATCTACTGCCCTAAGTGTCCATGTTTCAGCCCCATACAGAGCTATGCTCCAAATATAGCATTTCACTAGTTTCTTCCTCAAATTTAAGTCCAATTTGCTGGTAAAAAGATTCTTCTTCTTGCTAAATGCAGCTTTTGCCATGGCAATCCTGGATTTAGTTTCACTAGTACACCTTCCATCATCTGTTAACAAGCTACCCAAATATTTAAAACATTTCACATTCTCCAGTTGTTTTTGGTCTATCTTTATTGTGACTGGGGTTGGTTGTCTCGAAATTTTCATTACTTTTGTTTTCTCCACATTCATTTCCATGCCATAGCACCTTCCAATTTCAATTAGTCTATCAATCATTCCCTGTAGCACAGTTTCCTCCTTAACCATTAACACAAGGTCATTGCATATTTCACAGTTTGGATAATTTGGCCTCCTAATTTGAAGTCTCTTGAGCCCATCCAGAGCTTCCTTGGTAAGGCATTCGCTGTACAAGTTGAACAGAATTGGTGATAAACAGCATCCTTGTCGAACTCCTCTTCCAATCTGCACACTTCCTGTCTCCCCCCTGTCCAGTCGTACTCTAACTTTCTGATCCATGTACAATTTGCTAATCAATCTTCTTTCATGCCAATCGATACCTGTTTCTTTCAGGATCTGCATTAATTTGGTCCAGTTTACCCGGTCAAATGCCTTCTGCCAGTCTATGAAGCAAACACACAGTTCTTCATCTATCTCCAAAGTTCGTTCCGCTATAATTCTCATCATCCCAATTGCATCCCTGGTTCCTTTTCCTCTTCTAAATCCAAACTGATCTTCTCCAAGTACATCCTCTATTTTCCTTTCAATTCTTCTTTTAAGTATCTTTGCTATTATCTTTGCTGTATGTGCAATAAGACTTATTGTGCGATGGTCGCTGCATTTTGTAGCTTTTGTCTTTTTCTTTAAGGCAATCATTGTAACTTCTGTAAAGTCCTTGGGCCACTCTCCACTTTCATATATGGTGTTCATTAGTTTTGTCAGTGTTTTCAAACCACCTTCTCCCAGTAACTTGAGCACATCTCCAGGTACATCATCATCTCCTGTAGCCTTTCCCTTTCTCATTTCCTTGATAGCTTTTTCCACCTCGCTTCGTAAAATATATGGTCCTTTCTCGTCTGTATCTACTTCTTCTTCCGGTTCAACTTCTAAGGTTTCTGGCCGATTAGGTCGATCATATAGTTCTGAAATATAATTTTCCCAAATTTTCAGCACTTGCCTCTGATCTACTATTCTATTCCCCTGGGAGTCTTCGATGCCAACATTTTGAATCCCATGATTCTCTTTCCATCCTAGTTCTTTTGTCTTCATGTACATCAAATCATAACGGCCTGTTCTTTGAAATTCCATAATCTCATTACATATCTTCTCAAGATACTCCTTTTTGGCCCTGTCCGTGGCTCTTTTCAATTCATTCCTCAGTCTCCTGTATTTCCTCCTGCCTTCTTCATTGTTGACATTCTTCCATTCCCTTCGCTCCTCCATTTTACTCATCTCCTGTGTAACCCATGATTTTCTTGCTCTCTTCTCATAAAATAAAAAACTTAATAAGATTTTAATAAACATAATTTAAAAAGAACATTACTATAAAACTTAAAATAATACAATTGTATTTAAATTAACTGAATTAAATGCATTACAAATTTACACACTTATAACCAATTAGATTGATAATATTCTTTCATGGAATAAAAATAATGATGCTATAAAAACGTCTTCAGTGCAGATTTAAAACTTCTCTCATCAGTAGCCAATATTTGTATTGTTTGATGAAGATGATTAAAAACTTTATTACCTGATATGTATGCACCTTTCAATGACACTAAATTTCCCTATTGATAGGGAACTATGTTTATCAGTAGTTATCTTATCGACCTGAAGATTCAGGAACTTCGTTCGGGAACGTTCAAGATCCAGGTTTAGGAGTGACTAGGAGTCAGTGTTAGATATGATAAGGGCCGTTAAGGACAGCGAGGATATGTGCATTGGAAAATCTAGTTCAGGTGCGTGCAGATGAACCTTTCGGGAGAGTTTATGGTAACAATCTATCCGTCTCAATTCCACAGTTTGACTTTAGGACCTATAACAAAATAATATTTCTTTTTTAGTTCCGGAAGACCAACAGTCTTCTGTCGCCCTAATTAGTTTACAATTCGCATACAAAAAATATGCTTGCTGTTGGCTTGACGAGTTGTGTTAATATTTCTACGTGCAGTTGATTAAGGGTACTTCTATTTTAAATAGAACATGTAGAGTATCTGTTCTAAAATTCATGTTTTTCAAGTCAAATAAATAAAGCGATGTACGAGACATTAGAGTAGTACACGTTTCATACAACTCTATTCCACACGTAGTATTGCCTGTATTGGCATTGGCCTGAAAATTTTTCATAGTTGTCGATAGCTTTATGAGAAATTTACATTCCAAGTAATGTGAGTTCCAGACTTTTTCAAATTAGTGTAGTGTTATAATAGGATTTCATAACCAAATGTATTAACAGTAAATACATTGTCGGGGAAATTATATATGCGGTACGACCAGTAAAATAACAGCGCAAAATACACAGACGGAACATTACATTGTTATAGACTTTTCGATATATCTTTCCAGGTATGAAAAATTGTAAGTAATATCTTTTACCCAAATGAAGAAGGTAACTGCTTATGATTGTTTAATATAAATATGTCACCGTTTTTGTTGTTGAACGACTCGTATCCGGACCTTACATACAACAAATCCAAAAATAAAATCTTTGTTCTTTCATTCTCTGAGGCGTTGTTTTAATAACTAGATGTCTATTTTTGTTATGTTTTAGCCTAGGCAACTTACCAGCACAGAACTATGTGTGATGTTGACGTTCGTTTTTGTTCAAATTGGTAAGTGAAATACGTTGTTTTATTAGTGATTAAACTATCGATTTTAGTTTTGGAATAATTGATTGTGTTCCTCTTCAGCAAGCGGGAGGTTCCTCAAAGTAATTTTGTAATGCACAATGTGCATTGCCAGAGGAAGCTTGCTCTCTGTATAAAGTGTGATGAACCTGTACCAAGATGTGAGCTTGCATCTCACAATACAAATTTCCATGCAGTGGTTGAGTGTCCAGCATGTGGCCATCAGTGTGAAAAGAGACATTTAATTGATCATCAGGTTAGTAGTAAAAAAATTATTATTATGGGGATATTTTGATTATGTATAATTTTGAAGAACGTGGTGTTGGTCTAGGTAACAGTGTGAATAAGATTCTTAAGTATGACAAAGATTTGAATAGATAGTTCCTTTTGAAATTACATGTTAAGGATTTCTGTGCCTGTTATGAGTAACAGTAGCTGTTCTTTTTCCTAAGCTCTGAATAGGCATTCCATAGTAGTGAATAAATTGTTGAACGATTTCTTATGAACCGAAGTAGTGTTCTAAATCAGGTTTATTTTATTTTGTCATGAAAGAGCAAATAATTATGCATTTAATTTTCAGAAATCATCATGTAGCCATCGAGCTGTATGCTGTAATTACTGTCATATTGAAACAGAAGCTAATGAATTGGCAGAACATGAAAATTACTGTGGAAGTCGTACAGAACGATGTGAAGATTGTGGAGAATTTGTGATGCTAAAGTATCAGCAGCTACATCTGGATTCTAACCATGCTTTCTTGAAACTTGAAGATGGTAACTTCACTGATTAATTTTTTCCCAAAGTCCAAACTTTTCTGTACCACTTTCTTGCCCTCTTTCACAAGTTCTCTTTCCTCTTTGGCACGTGAACAGTCTGCCTGTGTGGTTGCCAGGGTGTAAGATACTGTTCTGAAAGAGCTCTGCTTCCATATGCAATCATCCAAGAGAGCACTCAAAGATGTAATTTTTTCCTCCTTTATGCAAACAAGGATTGCACCTCCAGAGCCAATTTCAAGACTCAAAGTTAGTCTGACCATCTCAGCTCTGGTCTTCCACTCTCTCTTCTCTTATTATATTTAAAATAATATGCTATCAAAGGAGGGTGTATGCTTTTCATTTCCCTCAGTGATTGTTGTCTTTATCTTCCAGTGTTTCCTGTAATGCTGGTATCAATTTTACTTATAGTATCATCATTTCTAATATAGTTCAATTTTGAAAAGTCTACCTGTAGTCTCAAAAACTTCATTTCTTGAACCTCTAATTTTACCCCTGGCCCCTACAAACAACCCATGTCAGAGATCCAGACAGTAATGTGGGATTAGATGTGACCTTATGAAGCCTAAGTTATGTATATTTTTTTATTATACTAGTTATGTCAACATTTTATGATCATAGGCAATATAGGCAATATTGGTTAAACCACTTAACTGCATTTTTTAAATTATTTTTCCTTTAAACTCAACATTGTCACTGCTGTAATTTGGAATATCACTCCACAATGTGTTTTGAATTTATAAATGATCTTTCTTGCTTTGGAGTAATATCCTGTCTTATAGTAGTACTGATAAAAAATGAAGTACCCTACAAGTTGTGGCATTCAGCAAAGAAGGCTGTTTTGTTTCTTGTTACATATTTTCATGTATGGAAATTTTCAAATATGATCATCTTCCATATCATAGAACCAGAAGAAAGGTGGGTGGTGCTTTGCTTCTGATGGGGATTTATGTTGGGGGAACTGGGCTGATGATTATTGTATTTAGTATCTCTCTGATGTTAGTTTCATAAGTCTTTGAAGAACTTCAGAAATGGAAGATGTGTACAGAATTGTTATGCATGGACCTTGTGCAGAAAAAGGCCACTGTTAGTACTAAGGTATGGACAGGATGATGATAGAACACATCTCGTGACGAATTTAGGAGCCTTCTTTTCTTTAAATATTTCCAACATAAACAGGAGTCAGCAGAAATTATAAACTAATAATAAGATTTATTATTGAATTTCTTTCGCTTCCTGCTAATGTAAGTTCCAATTACTTTAGGTTATAAGACATAATCATACATTTCACACTTTGCCATATAGTAATTTTCAGCACACACTGTTTTTCCCACAACACATACTGTTGTCCGCAAGTAAAATTTAACGTGCTTAGCTTCAGTGATTCGGCGACAGTTATTTGGTTGCTGATTATTTTAATGCTTATTATAGATTCTTTATGAATGTGTTTTCAGAGCCAGGTCCTACACCTTCATGGAGCAATACACGAGCAACATCTTCCAATCTTCTCAACGATTTGAGTCGCCAGCGTAAGGTATCAAATGCCAGTCAAGATTCTGCACGCCCAACTTTGGCCTCCAATCGGCTCTCTCCCAGCAAACGCACTAATGATATGCCTCAAGTCAACTCTGCCACTACTGCAACTCCTACAAAAGATCATCATAAGACCACTATTCCTTCAGGTAGCTAGCAGAGATTCTAAACTTAATTAATTTCTCAGTGAATAAAATGAAACAAATTGGGGTCCTCAAATTATGACTTTCTTCTTCAGGTCATTGATCAGCTCAAGAACACTACAACATTGCATCTTACAGCTTCATACTAATGTACATGATTGTGTAATTTACACTCAAGTATTAATAGTTATTTAATTGTTGGATTTGTATGAACGTACTCTTATGGTCTTAAGTGGTCTGTACAGAGTATGATCATTTTGTTTATAGCTCAGAACTCTAATGCAAGTGTGTTGAGATTTTATGTAAATTAGATGTTTCTGCCATCTGTAACAAGACAAATTAAATAGGGAACTTAATTGGTTGAATGCCCTTGGAAGCATTATTTTCATTTGCAGTAGCATGTGCAAAGAAACCAGCATTGATGTGTTCACATGGCTGGTCAGAAGAAGCAGCCTGATGTCTTCTGGGATATACCACTGTTCAGTGGATTACTTACTTACTTACGTACTTAATTACTTACTTACTGAGCTGAGCCCTTCTTGAGGAGAAGCCAAACCTGCAGCTACTCAACAATTTCCCAGCATTTTATGGAACCCAAACGTTCATTACCATGTTCACAAGAGCCCTCCACTGGTCCCTATCCTGACCCAGATCAATGCAATCCATACCATTCCATCCTTTCTCTCTAAGATCCATTTTAATATTCTCCACCCACCTATGCCTTGATCTTCCCAGTGGTCTCTTTCCTTCTGGCTTTCCCACTAATATCCTATATGCATTCCTCTTCTCCCCCATTCATGCTACATGCCCTGCCCACCTCATCATCCTTGACTTGATCATGCTAATTATTTTTTTTTATTGCTAGTGGGGTGGGACTAAGTCCCTTGTACTGTGGCCACTTCTGGCTTATTGTACCAGCCCCAGATGATAGGTGAGGGTGATTGTGGAGCAATTGGTGGAATGAAGATTGGCAGGGGAAACCGAAGTACTTGGAGAAAACCTGCCCCAGCACCACTTTGTCCACCACAAATCCCACTTGACCAGACCCGGGATCGAACCTGGACTGCCACGGTGGGAATCCAGCGACTAACCGCTTGTGCTATGGTGCGGCCATCATTCTAATTATACTTGGAGAAGAGTACAAGTTATGAAGCTCCTCATTATGCAGTTTTCTTCAACTGTTCATTGGATTACATGGCGTTATATCCCAGGTGACAGAACTTATCATAATCACTGATGTGAGAATCTCAAATCCTACAGAGTGTGAAGTTGCATGCAAAAGGTGTAAGTGACAAATTCTAATAGAT